GATCTCAAAGAGAAAAACCTGCATTTGAAGTTCTGCAGCCAGATTGCTGTAAATAGTCTTTCTGCCGTCAACAAACGCTTGGTTTGTTTTAGTGCGCTTTAGCTGAAAAATTTATCCCACAAAAAACATGAATAGTTATTGAGCTGGATGGTTTTTGCCTAAAAAGCAGCTCAAATTAAATCAACAGTGTGTACTGCAAGAACGAGGAAAGGTTAACGCGAATGCATAACGCATCACAACAATCATTTTCCAGAAATCACGAAAACCCGAAGCACAATACACAACTTGCAAGTACAACAGAAATCCATGACTCACACCTGCAACTGAAAGCACGCCATTATAAATGCACGCAATAACCCAGCGAAGCAAGGGACGAAGCACGTAGCACCGCAGCTAACCGAGTAATACACTGAAGCGACATTTTAGCCGATGCACCAAGCCAACAATTTAAGTCAGTTGCGTGGAAACGAAATTCCATTCATAATCCTTTCCGCAGCGCCTCCTTAGCGTTGGTTTATCAATTTTGCCTGCGGAGGGGAAGTATTGGGCTGAACAGCTTTGCAGATTGCTCGGATTACTCGCCCAGATAAGCTTGCCTTATTGAGTAAATTCACACTGTGGAAGATAGGATATATTTTTTCCTTTTTTTGCATTTTGCGGACATTAAATCAGAAATGTGGATGCCTTCTCTCTGCGGCGAATGGGTCGACCAAAGCTAGCCAGTAACAATCCGTTATGCATACCCTTCCCCTGTAGCTACAAAAAGACAGTCAATTTTTTCTGTATGTCGAAATTTGGTGAGGCTATACGTCTGATACGTCAGAGGATGATTGCAATAAACAAAAAGAACATGTGGCGGAAATAGAAAACAATTCGATCGTCCCAGTCGCAAAACATTCCTTAAGCAGCGCATACCAGATCACAGTGTATAAAACTTGATCCTCTCGTGCGCACGTTCGGATGTGGCGGAATATTCGCCTAGTCGTGTAACGCTTGAAATGTGAGCATTCAGGCCTATCGCCTGCTCCAGTGTGACCATGACCACCGCTGTCATGTTTTGCATCCTCACGACCAAACTTTTTGTCTGAACGTAAAAATTATAAATAGTTTGATCCTCCCGTCTGTCCGCTTGTATCGAGAACGATATTCTCGATCGTATTTTTATCAACAAAACTTGAGCAGTACAGTGAAGTAAATACTGTACGGAATCAAGACCATTGCTAGTCTCATAAAGAGAAAAATGTGGTGCTGAAAGAAAGGATTTTACATGAGCCACTATAGTCCGTTGAGGTAAGTAGAGCAGCTGAAAAAGTTAGACTTGGTGCGCCAGCAAAAAAACATCTCGCTGAATGTTTTTCCAAATAAAAATATTTCAAAGTTTTCGGCTTTTGCACTGTTTTGTGGAAGGAACCTATAATATCCAGAATGTAACGAACATGTACCTATCTTACTATTCGATTTCTTTGATACGCTGAACGTTGATACTGTGCAGTTTCGGGCTTTCATCTCCACAACTGGTAAATGAGCTCCGTCCTCCGTCACTTCGTCTTTCTGGAGATTTTTCTCTTGCAGAGTATCGCTTCGCACATTTGCTGTCAGTCTCAAGCGATCTCCGCTTTCAGATATTTCTAGTGGTAGCCGTCTTTCAACCCGCGCTTGAATTTCTGCGCTTTCCTCTGAAAAAATACGCTCGAACAAGTATGGCGAATGCACGCATCAAATGAAGCGACAGAGATGAGCACTTAAATATGAATGCGTATTTAGAGTCATAAAGGCCTTTCGGCATAATAACAGAATTATGAAGCAAAATCTCATTTATCTGAAAAACAAATACACACTCGCAAACGCTCTCGTATCCCTTCTGGGAATTCGGCTATCTGTGTAGGAAGCTCGGCGGTATGTATTAGAAGCTCGGCCGCCTTTGCTGGAAGCTCCACCACGTGCACTGGAGGCTCGGCCGCCTCTGTTGGAAGCTCGACCAAGTATACATGAAGCTCGACCACCACTATTCCTTCGACGACGCTCGCTTTAAGCAACAGCCGAAAAAAAAATAGGAGCAATTTTACTAGTGAGGGCCTCACTCTACAAAAATATGGCATTCGGGCTGGGCGAACTGTCAGTGTGGAGCTTCGACGACACCGGGATGTAGTCAAACGTGCTTATATGCATACATCTGCTACCTCTAGCACGTGAGGTTGCCAACTCTGCTAAGGCGGGAAGGCACAAATAATGGTTACACACAGCTGTTTCATTCATCTGTTTCGCCGGCTTCTTTCGCAGTGTGTCATCGGTGAGAATGATGGTGGTGCTCGAAGTACTTTCAAGATGTCAAAATGAAACTCCTAGTAAAAGCTTAGGCGCAGTGGAGCTTCCTGCGCATGCTTTCCTTCTCAACACTGATGCAGCTAGCAAACTCTCCAATCTTTTTTGAATTCCGGACACAAAACGAAACTACTAATTCCCTTGCCTCAGCCGCTAGTGTTTCTAGTCTAGCATATAACTCCTTTCCCGATTTTGGCTCTAAAGTCTCTCAGTCTTTTGCTGCACGTTGAAACAACGAAAATCTTAGAAATATTCAAAATTTACGTTGTCGGTGTTAACTGAAGTGCGGAGCTACAGCAAAACTTTCTGTGAATGTGGACGACGAGGATACAACATCGTGTTGGGCGAGATGATCTTGCCATTTCAAGACAAAGTCTATATCTCCGTCTAATAGCTGGCCTACAATCTCTGTACCATCACGCCATATTGCACCTAGTACTGCTTTGCGTTCTGCTAGGACATCAAGACGGATTTTTCTGTATTTGTGTAATAAAGGCGTACTGTTTGGCCTCTGCTCGATAGTTAGGCACTGACGGCATTCACACCTTTAATTTCACAGGCCGAAAGGCCATATCCATTCCTCCTCGATATTTCTGATCTTTGTTGCATCAATTACTGGACTCTGGAGTCCATCGGAGTTCTTTGTACTTCGTCTTTGGTGATAAGTGCTGCGAAAACAACGAACGAATATAAATCAAAGAAACTGTCATGTAAGGATCCATTTGCACTGGTAGAATTATAGTTTCTTCCTGGATTTTTAAATATGGTAAATTGCAAGTGAAACGAGCGATAGTCTTCACATGACTGTCAGAGAAGTGTTCCTCGGTTTTTCGTATCATATAAAGTGAGTCAATGAGTGAGAGGCTCAAAAAAATTAACAGCAACTCAGCTACGAAGCAGCGTGCTCGTGATAATGGACATGCTTGATACAAAGAACTAACGCGAGGCGCATAACCACGTTTGCATTGAAATACATACTTGGGAGAGGGCATGGGCAAACTGCCTGCGAATAACTTCATACTCTGCAGCAAATTTCTCTTCGCTCATGGGAGTTTGCTACTTTTTGACGCACAAGTTGTGTCCCCATACCTGTTGTGTTCCCATACCCCATACCATACCTGACATCAGTACGTGTCGGTCCAGAGCGTTGTGGTATTTCGCAGCCAGTGTCACGCGTACAGTACATGTAATATCTTCCACGTGACACGTGCATCGGGTGTTGTCGGTCAGTAAACTTTTTCTGTCCAAAAATGCCTTCCTTGCATTTATTTTCCTTTTTTTTTTTGTTTATTTATTGTTAACTTATTATTCAGTATAGTCAGTATATAGTAAACAGTGTATACTATATATAGTATACATACTATATACAGCGTATATTCAGTATATACAGCATACAGTATGTACAGTATGTAGTCAGCAAAGTTATTGTATTTTTCTGTCCAAATACGCCTTGTATTTATTTTCTTCCTGATAATGAAGGACAAAAACAACAAGATACATAACGAATACTCGAAAACATGAAAAACATGCTCGTTTAATGAAGTTTTGCGAGGCACCGCCACTGCACTGCAACAATCAGTAACCCAGTTGACAGCACATCGACACCAGTGTGAAGGTGCGTTTTTGCATTCTTTCTTCACAGGCTTTTCCCCCTCCCCTATCCGTCCCCCTACCCTTCTCTGTGCTTCCCCCACCTCCTCCTTCCCATCCGTTCCCACTGCTCCCTCCCTTCCCCGGTCCCCCCTGTCTTCATCTTCCCTGTCCCTGGGTCCTGCATTAGTCACCAAGCTACAATGCACATTACATTTAATAAATAGAGCTTTTGAATCTGCATGCAGATTTACACGCTGCAGTACGTAGCTGCTACTACCGCATGGGATGCGTGACACCACTCACTGTCATTCATTCCCTTCGTATTCCTCTCCGAACATGCTCACTCCACCTTAACGCACTTCTATCCTGTGCTAAATCCCATTGATACGCAACAGAAGCCACTCAAAAGCTCGTATTAGCCTTCAACGCCACCAACATCCCGGCACGCAACCCAGCAACCGTGAACCGACCGCCAGGCTCCCAAAAATCTCACAGTAATCGCTGCCAGTGTTATCCAA